CTGAGAGCTACTTCTTCCAGGTGTCTGTTACCACGGAGGCAGCTACGATTTGAAACACTGGTAGGACTTTCTTCCAGTTCTGTTTAATACCCACTCACTAGTGACCTCAGTAACAAATACTAGAGGAAGGGACTCATTCTGCCGTCCTGACAAGGAAGAGAATTTCTGAGTGTCTCTGGTCCTCCGTCATGACTAATCTTTTGCCTCCTTCAATGGCTCATTGGCAAAATTCAACCCAACGGATCCTCCCCTCTCTCTTCCATGATCTTGCAGAAGCTCCTTGTCCTTTCTATCTTTTTACCTCCTTAATAGTCACCGAATGTTTCTCTTTTTCTTTTACATTATTAATGTGAAACATGTACCTTAAACCGAATGTCAAAGAAGCTATATGAAGTTAATACATCACTTAGCCACAACTCTCCAAATAATATAGTTTTGAATGCCACATATAGTTTATCTTATGTAAATGTCCTTCTCACAGACTACTTCTAAACTGCCCTTCTCATATAAAATGATAACCACACCTAAAAACTCTAGCAACCAAAGCTCTCCCTACATTGATTTGCAGACAATAAAAGTGCCAGGTGGTACCCCCCAAAAAAAGAAAAGGAAAAAAGCCCATCATTAAATGGAATGTTGTTAAGAAATCACTGTTTTATTTAAGAGCTATTCATTTTTATTGAATAAACATTTTCTAGTATGCATTCTGTTAATTGACCTGACAGCATATGCTGTATATGGAGAAACTTCTAAACATTATGCTCTATGTAATATGCTTATCTGAAAAAGCTCTCATTTGCAGCAATATGGAAATAAAATTCTGCTTTCTAAAATTCAAGACTTTTAAAATGCATTAATCCACACAGTTTGTGAAATTGCTCTGGACATTTTAAAATCCTTCCTTTAAGGGAAGGAAAAAAAAAACCTTAGTAACTGGTAATAGTATTTGTTGCTGAGTTTCATAATGGAGTAGTCAGTATCCAGTAGAGAACTTTCACAGACCTGGAAATGGGGCAGGCATAATAGGAAATAAAAAGCAGTGATGGGACTGGGTAGAGAATTATTCAAGGGCTAAAAGAAAATGTTCAGAAACTCTATCAAATTATATCATTAGAAAACCAGTATTATAATAGTTTCATGGTCCAGATATAAGCAGAGTTGCAGCATTACAGAAGAATCCATTCCGTTTTGAGGAAGGGAGCCAGTTTCTGAGGGTGTGGGTGGGCTTCTCCAGCCAACGGCGGCCCCTCTCCTCGGCTGATGGCTTCTGAGTGAGGATGGCAGCGTCCAGACCAGAACCGCCAACTCCGCCGCCTAGAGGGCACAAGGCAGCCACGGTTCGGCGGGGACTCGGGCCGACTGCAGGGCTATGGGCTCCTTGACTTAGTAACAGTTCATCTCCAACAACGGTTACCCTTGTAGGAATACTGGCCATGGGTACCAGATCAGATCTTTCAAGAGAAACTGGAAAAGCCAGATTTCCCCCATTTCTCTAGGCTGTCAACAACATAATTATAAAACGGCAACAGCAATTCTGTCTGGACCCAATTTAGCCAATCTGCAGACCAAACCCAGAACAGAAGCCACTCACTCCACAGCGAATCTTCGTGAAAGCTCTACATTCTGAAAGGGCACTTGTTCTCATTCGTAATTATCTTTGGTAACATGGATCAAAGGTGGAAAGGCTTCCATTTATTTATTTTAAATCTTGGCACTAGGTAAAAATTCTCCTATACTGTCAATGACTGCACTGGAGCAACTGGAAAATCCTAGAACATTCAGTTTCATACACAGCATAATTAACTCATTTTTATACCAAGCCTTTTAAGCCAGATCTTTTTGTTCCATGGACTTCTAACATATTTTACAGTTCTAATTCTCTTCCAGTGTCCTACATTAATCAAAGCTGTAACCCCTGTTGTCTTTGTACTACAGAATCAGAATGTGCCCCTGGCGAGGAATGGGGGAAAAGTCAACAGGAATTAAATTTCAGTGCAACTGTTTACTCAACTGTGGCCTGCAGTTATTGAAATTTTATCCATGGTTTTGTGTGACTACCGCAGTAATGAATTCAGCATGGCTGTGATTTTCTCACTGCTGGTATTCTCACTTCAAGTAAAAACCTGTAGAATAAAAATGACGAAAACAACCCATGTCCATCACGTTGACGTTCAGATAACTACAAACCGTTTAACTGTTGCAGTTTCAGTCTGGAAGAAAACTCATAATATGACTCCCATAAAACTTTCTGAATCCTTTTTTTCTTATTTCATCTACAGATTTTCTTTCCCCCAACAACCTGTTAAGCGCCTCATCGTACACTTAAGGAAGTTACACAGCTGTCAGTTGTTTTATTTTAAAAGACTCAAAAGGCCTGCCAACCACAATATATGGAGTTTCAGGCACAATGATAGACCCAACTGCTTTCTTCCTTCCCAAAACATATCTGGGGCAATTAGAAATAAAATTGTTATAAAAATATTAAAAGCACTTCGAAGTACAATCAAAAGGTATTGACCTGTATATCAATTACCCAAACGACATACTCTCTAAAAAAGTGGTCAGAGCCAAGATAAAAGAGGGGACACATGAATAACTAATTTTGCGGCTGGTGGTTTTCAAGGAAGATGCTGTTAAAATGTACATGTACATGAGCAAAATAATTCAGAAAGAGAAAAACCAATATTGGATATTAATGTGTATATATATATATATATATATATGGTATCTAGAAAAATGGTACTGATGAATCTATTTGCAGGGCAAACAGATGCAGATGTGAAGAATGGACTCCTGGAGACAGTGGAGACAGGGTGGGACGAACTGAGAAAGTAGCAGTGACCTATATGCACTATCACGTGTAAAACAGAAGCCAGGGGAAGCTGCCGTGTAACACAGAGAGCCCTGCCTGGCGCTCTGTGATGACCTAGAGGGGTGGGATGGGGTGAGAGTGGGAGGAAGAGTCTCCAGAGGGAGGGGATATGCTTAGAGCTATGACTGCATCACGCTACTGCACGGCAGAAACCAATACAATGTTGTAAAGCAATTATCTTACCATTAAAAAATAAACTAATCTTTAAAAAAATGAATGTATATTACCTTCTTCTGTGAGGTCAACTTGTGATGGCTGTTAGTGGGGTAGGGAGGGAGGGGTGTGTATGTGTGTGTCTGTGGCATAAAAGTAAAGTTTTTGGCTGGCTTATGACTTTGAGATGGCAGATGATTTTCAGTTATTTAAATAAAAATCAGAACAAGTTAATTTTCCATTTATCCAATTGACATGCTCTAAATACTAATTACTCTGTGTTCGTACCACATCAGGCCATGGGGTCACAAAGAGTCGGACACAACTGAAGTGACTCAGCATGCACTCACGTATGCCACATCAGTCAACAGCCCCACTTCAGCTGCTCCATAAAGAAACAGTTGACCTTGGCCTCTGTTTGGTAAGGGCACAGAAAACGGCAAACCAATTACCAACTTATTACCAATATAACCACAAATATCTGAGAATATCACACGAACAAACACACACACAAATACATGGATCCCTTTCTACCACTGAGAGGTCTTGTCACCAATGTCACTGGTTAGGATTTGACCATTTGCACTACTGCAAATACCCAAGTTTACACACAGTCCACATCATAAATCCCAGCTGATGTGATGCTCAGGAAGCGGGCACTATCTAATTTGAGCTGCCACTAAAAGAGAGATCAAATCACTTCAAGTCTCTTTCTCTCTCTTCTATTTTTTCCACACAGATTCCACTGTCTCAAGCTGGTTCCAACGGTTTCTGACAGACTAACAAGCTAATCATTCCTTATTGGTAAAAATTCTTAGAAAGGAGAAAATAATACATGTTTTAGAGACTGCCAAATGCTATATCTCTAAAACCGGAAGGGACTGCCTTAGTTTCTCTGCTAAAGATTCCAAGCAAATGGTTTGAGAAAAGGTTTGCATTTTTCCTTCTTTACCCCAACCCCCAACAATATGTTTGGTTCAGAAAGGGCCAAAGATTTACCACTCTTTTTTCACCTTTTCCCCAAATTACTTTGTATTTAATAAATGAATCAAACACTAAAATGTAAGAAAAATCATTCACGATCATTAACAAAATCATTAACATGATCAATAGTACACTATTTCCTAATCCAAGAGAGGCTGTGAAAACAATGCTTATCTTCAAGCAAATGCTATTTACTTACTTGAATTTGCATCAACACTTTGGCCACCCAGCAACATTTACCCTGTCACACCCTTTACCATTTGGAAATATTTTACTAGTCAATCGCAGTTACCCATATAAATGCCTACAAAGGATATAACAAGAATGAGTATGTCCCAACTTGTGATCATTTGGGGTAGCCACCAATAAGAGATACTTTAAAATAGTAATAAGATTTAGTCACATACCAACTGTTGTATGGATACAAGAAACATTTCAGAGTGGCCTATTTCCCGAAACTCTGGGTAGCAGCAAGCAATTTCTTACACCAATGCCTGCATTATTGATGTCTTGTTATCTACCCAATTTTGCTTGGGTATTTCTCCTTATTTCTACTCTCCTGTTTCAACTACTTTTCTCGCTTATAGCCTTTGTTCCTCCTGTATCCTTGACCCCTTATTTGTTTCCTTCTTCCTAAGGCTTAATAAGTCTATTTATTGTATTTTATCTTGTTTTACTCAAGCATTAGGAACCATTTCTCCAAAGATTCATTTTATTCCAAGTAGTTAAACTTTAGGCTGGCATATTAGGTGCTCCAAGGAAGTGGCCAGAGGTCCACCCGATCTCACTTTCAATAACCATTCCCCAAGACAGAGGGGCCTCCCAAGACTGCAATGACAAAAGCTGGGGCCCTGGCGCACAGGTGGCTTAAACGACACTGCATACAGTCCGACAGCCGGGTGAGCATCAGACGGCCCCGGCGGTCAAGTGTGTGGTGGAACAGTAGCACCTGCACCCACCTCCCTCCACAGCCCGACTCCCGGCACAGTACCTGCTGCTGCTGCTGCACGTGGGCCAGATCGGCCGTCCCCACGTCCACGGCCGGCGCCTCCCCGTTGGACCGCCCTTCCCGAAGACTGCCGCACTCTAGTAAGTGGTTGCCGCCGCTAGACCCATTCTGGATGGCTGAACCATTACTTTTTGTCTCAGTCCCAGATTCTTGCATCATGACTCAAAAACCTGATTTGCAGGAGGGAGCCAGGGAGAAAGAAAAAAGCAGCTGTTAGCACAGTTGTTGTACATAAGGAGAAGGGCCCTGCCTCCAGTGCTGCCAAAATCTGTAAACAGTTGTCATTTTCTTTCACTCAACTTATCCCTTAGTAGTGGGCCAATAGTCTAGTTTCTGAAGATGGAACTGTTGGTCCAAATTCAAGTTTTAAAGGACCCACTGTATAGCACAGGGAACTCTACCAATATTCTCTAACAGCTTCTATGGGAAAACAATCTGAACCAGAACAGATATATCTATATGTACAAGTGAATCACTTTGCTATACACCTGAAACTAACACAACATTGCAAAACAACTGTACTCTAATATAAAATAGAAATTAATTAAAAACTTTAAAACGAAAGCAAATTCAACTTTTAGTAGTATTGTTCTATGTATGCTATCTTTTGCCTCAGGAAAAAAATAGACATTGTCAGATTAATTTAGAATTTATGGTTAAATTCCTGTAATTATATCTGGATGTTTTGCTCAAAAACCAGTAAGTCATTTCATTCAGTGTATTAGGTGTAACATTTAATTTTTGTATGTATAGGCTCTGTATGATGTATTACACTCTTAGAGAAGTATTTTCCAAACATAGTCTATCAGGAGATAACACACCTTAGCAAGAGGCCCCCTGAGGTATTAATTCATGCTGAAAACCCTTACCGTCAAAACCCCAAAAGCATTCTAAAGATTTGCACTCCCTGGAATCATTCAAGTATTGGAACTTTTCAAAACTGGCCATTCCAGTAAGATAGGCTACTTTGAGAGAGGGAGTGGGGGAGTCTCATCTTTTCAGAGGCTAAATAAATTGACTCTTGTCTTTGTCTTATGGTTAAAATTGTCCTGAGAAGTCCCATTCAAAGTTACGTGTTTCTCATGCTGAATTCCTAACGTCTGGTCTGGTTTAAGGTATGAAAGGTCTAGGCTCTCTTATGCTTATTTTGGAGAAAACGTTGCCGAGGCAGATTAAAGAAAAAAGTTCTGAATTTGAAAGTGTAAAGTGCAAGTCACTCAGTTGTGTCTGACTCTTTGTGACCCCATGGACTATACAGTCCATGGAATTCTCCAGGCCAGAACACTGGAGTGGGTAGCCTCGCCCTTCTCCAGGGGATTTTCCCAACCCAAGGATCAAACCCAGGTCTCCTACATTGCAGGCAGATTCTTTACCAGCTGAGCCACAAGGGAAGCCCGAATTTGATAGTACTAAACATCAAAAATTTTTTAGAAGATATATATAAAGGATTGCATAAAGGAATATTATAGTAACCCCCCCTTTATCCACAGGGATACATTCCAAGATCCTGAGTGGATGACCACTGAACCCTATATACACTGTGTTTTCTCCTGCACATACATACCTAAGGTAAAGTTTAATTTCTAAGTAAGAGATTAATGGTGATAACTAACAATAAAAGAACAATTATAACAATATACTAAGGTGAAAGTTATATGAGTATGGTCTCTCTCAAAATACCTTGCTGGACATATTTAATGCCTTTTCCAGCTTAAATAAGCACTTTTCTAACACTATGATCACAACTTCTGCTGTTCAAAATACAAGAACAGAACTAGTATGCCGTTCTATTTTCTTCATCACAAATTCATGGATAGAAGATTGGTTCTACATCACATGATTTTTTTCTTTCCTTACTGAGAACTTTCACTTTTTCACTTAAAGGGAGCACTTTATGGCTCCTCTTTGGCACATCCTTAGTACCAGCATCACTAGTCTTGCACATACTTGAACATAAGCCCTGCGATACCTGGATACAACTGAGATGGCTACTGAATGAAAATGGGTGGGAAAGGCTGGGCAAAGGGATGATTCCAGTCCTGGGGAAGTCGGAGCAGGGTGATGAGATTTCATCTCACTGAGAAAGGCGCTGAATCCACAACTTAACGATTGCTTATTTCTGGAATTTCCCATTTAATATGTTCAGACTGAGGAAAACAAACCTCAGAGAGTGAAGCTGTGGATTGGGGGGCGGGGGGACTACTTAAGACAAATTCGGTCTCAAGTCAGAGTTCTTAGCTATGTGTTTTCTTAAAGCTGAGGTAAATGAGGGGCCAAACAACGAACATTTTCGGGTCACACTCCAAGCTGAGGCCGGACACAAGCAATAATCACTAAAGGGAGACGGTGACCCAAACAACCAAGCTAGAGAATGCCCAAATAATTAAGACAACTGGGAAATACTAATCTTAGATAAAAGGGCGGAAAACTTTAACACAAATTGATTCAAATCATGGATGACACATGTACACAGTGTTACAGATTCCTGCCCCACAGATGAAAGACGTGAAAACACGCACATTTAAACACTCTAGGCATCTTTATAGGAGGTTGTCTTCCTGTAAGACATTGGTTTAAGTCTGTTTTATACTCATACAAAAACTGGGAAAATTAAAAACACAAAAATCCGTATCTTTTTTCTTTTCCGCGCATAGTATAATCCAATGTAATGACAAATTTCATAAACCCAGAAGACACACACACACACACACACATTAAAGTTAATCCAATTCTGAACTGGATTAAGAATGGCATTTTTTGTTAACAGGTGGAAAACAAACTCAGACACAACAGCTGATTCACTCTTGTCTCTTTAGATCAGATATTTCAGTGATTATAGTCCTTTAAAAATTACATTCATATCTTACTGTCTGCAGAGTGAAGAATCTACCAAAAAAGAACTAAAACTTTAAGATGCAAGAACCAGGCAAAGCAAGTATCTAGTTCATCACCAAAAAAAAAATCAAATTTCTGAAACATAGGTATTTTTTTGTCCCCCAACATTTAAGTTTCTCTGTCATAAACTTTCCCACGTGTACAGAAGCTAAGGAAAAAAAGTGTTTAAACCTTCCAGAAAGCCTGTCCATTTCAGGGGTTTCCCACTCCACAAAGACAATGTTTTTGTCTATACCTAAACTCTACACCTTCCCTCAGAATGGGACACATTTAGCCAAACAGCCCGTCTTCAGGAAGCAGCGCTACAGGTAGAATGCTGCTTTCAAGTCACGTTGACCATTGGGCTCCCAGATTTGGAGACAAATGTCAAAGAGACTGACCCAGCTCCCTCTTCCTGGGTTTGACAACATCGCGGTGGGTGGAGTCAGAATAATATCCAACACACAATCTGATGAGAAGGTTTGCTCCATGCAGTTCCACAGAAGACTGCCAAGTCCTCCAGCACAAGTTTCGCAGGCATCAAGCCAAGCAGCTTGGCTTGGGGACCAGGTTTGTGAGAGTGCAGGCTTTGGGATCGAAATTGCATAAAGGATTATTTTGGTCCGAGGATGTCCTTAATTAGTCAAGTGCTAACAGTAGTATGTTGGTTGGAAGATTTAAATTTTGCTATAATCTCCCACACCAATCAGGAGAAAACAGGTTTTTTGAAAAGCACATGTGAAAAAATGAGGAGTGTCGATGTCTAAGAATGTTTCTAACAATATCTGGGCTGGCAGTTTTTTCTTTCTATGGAACGTTTCAAGCCATTTAATAAGGCTTTTCTATTCGTATCATATGCACAAACTACAAAGCCCTCTGATGTACTTTTCAAACACAGAAGAATTCCATGAGGGAAAAAAGGTTATTCCCATTTTACAGATAAGAAAACTAAACCTCAGCAAGTTAGGCAGACATGAACTTGTCCATTCCATAAAGGATGAGCTTATTTCCCATTTGCAAAGTCCTGCACTAGGTAGTGAATTAGGACATCTACACAAAGAAAATGCAGTCAATACCCAAAAAGGCAATGACGAAGGTGGCAGGTAGACAAGGAAAAAACACCTGAAGTACAAAGCTAAAGGTGTCAGCATGCCAGCCCACTGCTGTACTTGAGTTTTTTCTACTGAGTTTTACAATTTTAGACTCTTCTAAAGCAAGTCACAGGAGAGGTATCTCTGCTCTCTGGCTTAGAAGGCTGAACCCTCCCAGAGGGAGGCGGTGAGACCTCCGCCTCCCTCTGGGACATCCTAGAGCCCATGATCTGCTTTGCTCCATGGCAGACTGAAAACAAGAAAGGAGAAACAATCATCCACAGAGCCTAAACAGGAAAGGCATGGCACCTGAAGGGCACGGCCACGCCACACCTACTGACAAGCCCTTTATCAAAAAACAAAAGCCAAACCTTCCCCAGCCTTCTCTGTGACTTCTCTGAAGGAGCTGGGCGTGTTTAAATCACGTATGATCCATTCAACATAACCGCACAAAAGCTGATGCTACCATCACACAGATGTCGGAAAGCTTACGAAAGCCAAAATGGCCCGCTTCTCATCTTACTTGGAAACATTACAGCGCTACTGATTTCAAAAGATCGATTTTTGTGCTGGAGGGACTTGTAGGAGGGATCAGAACTGAGTTTAGTGTGCTTATTTATTGTCGTTGCCAATAGAGCTGCTCTCTGGAAGTATTCTGGAAAATTCATAATGTCCAGGCCAATGTATTTATAGTAAATGAAAGCAATGCTTTCTTATTATGATTATTTCCTTGGTTACAGTGTTGATGCTGAAAATTTAAGGAAAATAAAACCCTTGTTATCATGCCTGTGAAAGATTTTAAGCTAACAAAAAGTTCAGTCTTGATTCCAGGGCAGTTAATTAAGGTTGACCAAGTCAGGCAGAAGTAAATTAACTTGGCTGATCAATTATTTATATGAAGCAGAATAAATGCCCTTAAAGAACTTGGTCTGTTCATGAAAGGATGTGTAAATTAAACTAAACATAGTTTTGTAAAATATATTTGTATGTCTATGGGGAGAGGAGAAGAAAAGTTAACTGCAAGATCACTTTTTAGGAAAATGATTAAGAGTGATTACACGGTCCTTCTCCCACTCCATCCCCTCCTTCTCCCCCATCCCCCCAAATACCCTCTTTCTCATTGTTCATCCATGTGTGAGGAAGGAAGGAAAATGGTATGCACTTTGAAGAGACAAGAGAGGCTTTGAAGAAAAAAAAAAAAAAAT